ATTTAACGTTATAGTGTCCTTTCTTTGACTGGATGTGGATTTAAAAATGTACAGGAAATTTTGGTACGTTCTGATTATCCACACCTTCGCCAAAGTCTCGAAAAAAGTATCTATGAGGCAAAGCAGTATGTTGTCAGAATGGTTATGTGACAACCCGTGATGTTGTACCAACTCATGTATGCATGTAACGCGTATCTGTTTTGGCCAGGGTACCATGCTGAATTGCATGAATGCTGAGTTTGTGCAACTCGCAGATTTTTTTTAATGAAAAAAAAAACACTGCTGTGTCTTTAAAAAGAACAAAAATGCATTTATTGAACCTTTTTAATGTTCAGACATCCAAAGTCATACGCTTTTGGAGGGTCCGGCATCCATTTTTATTTAAAGCTAAAATACAGCATATATGTTCATTCTAACAGCTTTGGCTGCAGTTACTGTGGTTTTGATGATTTCAGCTACTGAAGCTGTATATTGTAATTTGGAGGAGTTACTCTTCATTGAACACTAATTATGAAGCTAACATATTGTTACACGCGTATGGATTGAATGTACACTGCGGAAAAAAAAAAAGACTCTGTATCTACCGTTCTACTGGGCTGTTTTTCATGTTTCGAAAGCGCGACTTAGGATATATATTAGATTTATATATAGTACTATTCTAACATAGGTCTTTTGACACAAAATCGGATTTTTTCTGTAATAACATACCAATTTTTTTACATATTTCGGTTCTACGACTCAAATTATGCCAGATTGCCAAGTTTTGTAAAAAATCGTACGAGTAGTTTTTGAAAAATTAGCTCTCAAAATTTTAGCTCATCAATGTTAATTGAATTTGGCATATATTTATTAATATATCTTTTTTATTATTTTTTGATTTTTTACTTTCACATTTCGAAATTTAGGTTCATTCCAAAAAAAATTCACCTATTTTTTGTGTGTTTTATTTTTTAACTTTCTATTTTTAAATAATTTTTATAAATTTTTTGAAAAAAATTGAATTGCAACGCATAAAATTTTTACCATTATCTTAAAAAAGGTATTGTTCTAACAGAAAAAAATTAGAGTTTTTTATTCAAAATTATCTAAGATATACAAGAATTTACATATTTTCACGTTTTGAAACTTGGCATCTTTTGAGCAATAATAATGCCAAATGTGATTTATGGATTTTTGTTACAGTGAATTGCCACAGCTATTTTTAACCATAAATTTCAAATAAATTTTTAGGGAGAATTAATTATATGAAATTTTTTCCCTCAATCATGCATAATAAATATTTATTAATACTATATGAAAAGCTATTTTTCTTTTAAAATTCCAGATGATATTATTAAAATTTTTTAATTTCTTTTTTTTCTTTCTTTCTTTCTTTTTTTTTTTTTAAATGTTTGTAAGAGTAAATTTTTACCTTCTTGTTATCGTCTGCTACTTTACTTTGACTGCATTTAAATTGAATTGTCTAAAACTGAGAAAGTTTGTTTTGATGTTTATTTTCACAATGTTTTTAAGTAAACAGAACGTTGATAGTTGATAGATGTCCCAGCTTTAAAAATTATATATATATATAAGTATAAATTTTTACATTAATCCTCTTCAAAAGAATGTTTTAAATAGCTAATTTTCTGTTGTGTTATAGATTGTATAAAAACATAATCTTTAATATGATTTAGATTGTTTGTAGGCGATGTAATAATCGGGTTACTCAGTGGTACAGAATATACATTGCTGGACTATTTTATTTCTTTGTCATTTAACAAAAAATCTTTTAATTAAAATATTTATCTTTTGGACTTCAACTGAAATGCAGTTGATGTAATTGATATTTAAAAAAAAAGACAATAATACATAATTTATGGAAGTGTAACAATCAAAAAATCTTAATTTTCTTGTGTTGAGCGCTGAAAATAAATTTAGAATAAAAGAAGAAAATTAGGGAGAAAAATAAGCAAAAATTTGAAGGGGAATTCAGCTGTCAGAAATACCAAGGTGTTTCGAAAAGTTGGATGCTTTTGAATATACTTTCAGTATACTTCAAGGAATTTGGGTATTCAAAGAGAAAACACTTGGATGTGTACACCAGCAAATATCATTAACTGAGCTTGTGCTAATGAAAAAGACAAAAACGATATCATTGCAGATTAAAGTGACGAGTGACTGATTTTCGACTATATGTTTGTATAAATTTAAATTATGTTATAGAACATCATATCATCATAAACGGAGAATCCCATGATTTCTTAGTCTAATTATATGAATATTCAGGAATTTATCCAGTGATGTATGTGGATGTCACCTAAAGACGTTTTTCCTCTTGATGAAACCAGTCTTTCCTTTCATCTCATGCCTTAATATGCTTAGCCTCTAAAGATTGATAAAGGCTCAGACCAAGTACTGATGAAATGGATTGAATTGGATTATTACATTACGGCAAAGCAGAGCTATCTGCCCTAAAAGGCCTTTGTGAAGAACTTTCTAAGGGAAACCAGCTGGCATACACGTTACAATGAGAAAAACCACAAAAACGCCCATGCAACCAGCCCGTTTTCGAACCCCAGAGTGAACTATCAGTGTTCAGCGACTTTATGTTACCACTCGACCGTTGCTGGCTTTATGGAATGCAAGGTGATAAATTTATTTAAAATGAATGTCAGAAATACCAAGATGTTTTTTGAAAAGTTGGATGCTTTTTAATATACTTGCAGAATGCCTGAAGAAAAAGATCAAGCCATTAAGAAGAAAAAAGTAATTTTTTGCATAAAATTTAGTATTTTTTTAAAATTTTAAACTTTTTAATCTTATGATATTTGATAATAAAAATAAAATATTTGACTATAATATGAATAACATTTTAAGAAACTAAATGTAGGATGATAAAATTGTGTAAAGTAATGAGCACAATGTTAAAGCTATTTAAAGCAGTATATGCAAGTCATCCTAAGTTAAAATGTCGGTTATACATCTTTCTCATTTATATATCTTTTCTGAACGGAACAACTGTGACAAAAAAATTATGAAGAAAACTATTTGAAAAAAAAAAAAAAAAAAAAGATGCACCTGATATTTAAACTACGCACTTTAAATGGGTAAATAGAAAATTTTAAAACAGTTATTTGAAAGAAACCATGCAACTTTAACAATTAAAATGGAATTTGAAAAAAAAAAAAAAAAAAATATTTAAAGTAATAACATAAAAATATAATATAAAGAACTTTATTTGAAAGAAAGAATGTTGTGATTTTTTTCCTCTAATGGGAAAGGAAAATAGGTTACCATAGATTAAGAAGTTCGCCAAGTAAAATATTCTTAGCACAAACTGAAAAAAAAGCAGCAACATAAATTTGTGAATTTCTCCATAAATTTCACACCAAATTTTACAACTTTTCATATTTGGGTATAATTTGAGTCGTAGAATCGAAATATGGAAAAACATTGCTATGTTATTTCAGAAAAAGGTCCAATTTTGTGTCAAAATAACTATGTTAGAATAGAGCTATATATAAATCTAATATATATTTAAGTCACGATTTCAAGACATAAAGAACTCAATTTGAATTTCGTCAATCGGCCCAGTAGTCCCCCCCTTTTTTTATGCAGTGTACATAGAACTGCTTGATAGAATTTGTTTTTCCAAAAGAAACACTTTACAGTTCTGGAACTTTCCACAAAAGTACTTGTACAGCTCTTCTCAGAAAAACAGAGCATAATCAGTAGTTACCACTTCTAATTACTAAAAAAACGAAGCTCGCACTGAGATCTCTCAATGCTATGCTGAAGTGGAAAACTGAGAACTGATGCTCTCCTGTCATATATAGTTTTATCCTGCTGCCGAAAAATCTGTAGTACCTTCCATTTCTTGAAATATATAGGCCCTATATATTCAATATTCTTATAAGGCATATAAGGTTAAAGTTACATATTATGGCTGAATATGGTTACAGTTACATATATGTATCAATTACAGGTATGGGGGTCAGACCGAGCCAGTGGTACACAACAGTAACCAGTGGGAAAGATAATGTGGTGAGATCATTGGATCACATAATAAGGCACAGAGATTTCGTAATGTTAATAGAGTGAAAACTTTTGTCATTCTTAGTTCTAGTGAGGACTCTGGAGGAAAAGAAATGTAGTTTTATACTTATGTGCTGTTTTAACATATGTTATTTAGCAGTTTCAAAGAGGAAAAGATTAACATTAAAATGAAAAGTTTATGTGATTTATATAGCAGAACTTGAAAGGCACAGTTTGAGAGATTTAGGGCAGAAATTTCGAATAAGTGAAAACTAAGTAAATCATGTGCTAAAAGAAATAAAAATATTATAGAGTCCCGTTCAAATAAACATTCAAAGACTGTAAAATTTGGAAAAACTGAAGCATGTGAAATTGATGAAGTAGTGTACAATTGGTTTTGTCCTGTAGTTGAGAGCATGAGCTTTAATAAAAAATAGCTTGGAAAGCAGTGAGACAGGCGAAATGTGTGCCATAAAAAACTACACCAATGCCGTAAAATGCATGTCCCAGTTAAAACAGTTTATGATTATTAATGGTGCAGCGAAGGATTTAAGATTTGGTGATTTTAATATCCATGTAGGGAAAAAATCCCTGCAATGCACAGATTTTCAGATAAAACCATGTAGCATATTTCCAATAAATTTCTGTTGTTCATTTAATTGATTTTTGCAATAATTTTTTTAATTAGAAATTTTCATTTTTCATTAACTTCAAATTCAAATATCTTGAATACCTGTGATTATGTTACTTATTTGTCTAGCATTTATTTAAAGCTTGATGCAACCTTTCATATTTGCATGGGACTGAGATAAGATAACTGAAATATGATTACAGGGAATGGAAAAAGAAAAGAAAAGAAATTTTTTTAAAGAAAATAATTACCAAATTTTAAGATATAAAGTTATTTTTTTAGCAGGATATCACTAATGAATTGATTTCTTTTAGAAGTACTGGGAAAAATCTTCAAAATTATTTAATATTTTTAGCTGTCCAAACTCGCCAACATTGGAAGGATGCTGCTAAAAAGGCTTTGCACATGAGCGATCCATGGGAAGAATTTCATCTTGAGCAACTAGAAACAGAGGTAGTTTGTCGTTACAGGTTCAATGCAGTGCGTCAGGCATGGGTTAAAGATGAAGTTCTTGTGAAAATTGCAAAAGAGGTAATTACATTTTTCTATTTGCATGTTATAATCTGCATGTTAAATAATACAGATGCAAAGATGAAATTTTGTTGAACCAAGACACTGTAGTGGTATTGATATTATAGCATAATTTTTTAAATATATAATTGTAGCATTTCAAGTTCTATTTTCCTGCTTGGTGTAATAATATTAAATATTTTGAATAGTAATTTTTGTAACAATGTTCAGTATTGTAATCTTAGTTTTTTTCTTAAATATTGAGTCATCTGGACAGTTCTGTTTTTGAGAATAAATACAAGCAAAATAGTAAAAAAAAAAAAAAAAAAAAAAACCCTCAAATCCCATAAATAAAATTTTGCTCTATGACATTTTCCCATCTCTCAAACAGCTGGAAAATTCTTTAAAAAAAATCATTAGATTTATTGATGCTGCTCGGCAGTTTCCAAAGAAATGAATTCAAAGCCATTTAGAGAATTTTGAAGTGACCTGAAGAGTTGCAGCAGTAACAAAATAATTAGTGAAACACACTTCAATTTGAAAAACCACAGAACTTCCTGGATGGCATAACATTTGCTGTGCAATTTGATATTAAAATTTAGTCATTATCCAACTTGAAGAAACATTTTATACACTTCAAATCCCTGACAAAAATTATTTTACTCTGAGGTGGAAGATATTTTCCCCCTTCTTTGGAGGCATATGCTGGCAAGAATCAAAAGTTCTATCAATATTTTGTATCTGTATCATCAACAACTCATCTACAATCAATTTTAAGAAATTTGAAGCTAGCGAATTTATTTTTAATGGCTCATAATTTTACTTTAAAAACAGCATTCAATTTATTTTTGTTATAAACTGCTCTATAATATCATTACACACACATGTGTACATATTTATTCTTCTTGACTCCTCTGGTAGAAAGCATTGTATCTATATTTATAGATCTGAATTAGCAGAATTTTACTTCTCTCTTTGCCCCTGTATATTCATTAACAGAAAAAATGCATATTGTTTTAGCTATATTAATTCACAAAAGGTTATGTATTGTTGCAGATAACATATATTTTTCTGTAACATTTAGAAAACAGGGTTCACTTGTAATAGTATTTGGTTGATTCTCCTTCTCTAACAAGCTCATTTTGAAAGGAGTAGGATCTTAAATTATACTGAGTAATGTTTGCTGAAGAGAAGTCTTGATAAATTTAAAAGGTCTAGTGATATTTAAGAGCTTATATTTTCCAAATGTTCTAATGAAAGATATTGACCATTTAGAGTATATCACTTTAATTTATAAATAAAGCATAAAACAATGTTAATTTTACTATTGCTTTCTTAAAATGTAAAGGATTTTGTGAACTATGTTTCTGTATATTTATTGACGCGTTTGCCTCATTAAGGTGTATTTTTTAAAACAAATTTATTGATGTAATGAATTTTTGTCACAGTCTGTATGTTTTTATTATTAATGGATTGAACATATATGTAGATATGAAAATTTAATTCTAGGAATGCACCTTTAAAAATATGTGTATAGGGGAAATACATACTACACACAGATTACTGTTGCTTTCACATGTATAAATAGATTTTGATGATGTATCTTTCTGGAAGTAGATACAGAACTCATTTTTTGAATGCAGTCGAGTTCATGTCTAGTGTTCTGCTATATATTACTACGAAACCTTCATAAACGTCTATGCTATTTTTAATTTTAGAAAACCAGAAATTACAGGGAACTAAGTAGAATAAACAGGATAATGATTTTTTGGCAAGAAAAATTTGTCACAAGGAGGGCATTATGATTGTATGTGGGGTACAGATTTTGCAGAATTTATCCTTATACCCTATTCAATTAAAATTAGCCTATTATATTATTGTTCAGCTATTGTGCTCACACGTAATTTTTTATTAGACTATATTGTACCCTACTGTGTTAGTATAAACTGTGTTAGTACTGTGTTAGTTGTTGTCTGCCTCTGAGGCTATTCTTTTTGTTATTATTTTTTTTACACAAAATATAATGTTAATATAGTGCTCTAAGTTTTTATTACCCATTTTGGTCCAAAATGTGATTATAGATATTTTTCTTTTCTGACACCTTGTTCTGCCAGCTTGAAATATATGCATATATTAGCTGCTTAGACATATTCATACATAAATAGTCATGGGATTCTATTATAGTTCTGTTACTATGATACTGTACACTATTCTGGGAATTAAATTGTGCCATCTTATGTATGGGTATTGTACTGAAAGTAATACAAAAGTTGGCCTAAATTTTTTTATTAACTGACACTTATCTTCCAAACTTTACATGTTGTTGGAGTGACCCTATCTGTGTATGAAAGTATTACCCAACAAAGTATCCATTGTAAGCTATGCATCATTGTATCTGTCTGTCGAATCTTCTTTTGAAAAATTCAGGTGCACATTGTTTTCATCCATTTCTTTAATACCACATTGTTTATGCCAGCAAGTGATTGTCGCTGTAGATTGCCCTTCATTGATTGAGAAGTAGAAGTTCAAGAGAACAAGTTGTACATTGTATGATGGAGGAAAAACGATCCTGTACATAGCAGTTTGCTGATTACATTTGTTGCTTCTGAAAGAGATGCGAGGGCTGGTGTTTTAAAAGAATGTGAAGGCATGGTGAATGTGGTTGACATTCAGGTTCTTCATGATATCATGATTTGGTTTCTTCATGATATCTTTTTAAAGCTTTTGGAGTGTCATAAATTACCACTTGCTAGTCACGGTATGGTTGTATCTTAAAAGAAAAAGCAAAGAGAATGATGCCTTTTATACTCATCAGAATTTTAGGTCTTGCAAAAGAGAACTAAAACAATTCTTTTGCATTCTTCATTTCTATGCCAACATTTTATTCTGTATCACAATATATGAAAAATAAATCTTTATTAATTTTAAAAGCTTTCAGTACATCAAACTGCATTTCTTCATATGTCATCAATTGTTAAAGTACATGTATGTAACCTAAGTCTGTTACCATCATGCTAATTACGAAAACCTCCCATTTGTGCAGAAAAATTTTGGATTATATGCTTGAATTGATTCAGTGATCCATTAATGTCTCTGGTCACAGTTAATGACCTTCCACTGCATAGTTTGTCTTCTGTTCTAGTTTTCTTTCTTAAACTTCTTCATTCATCTATATATATATACATCACTCTTATTAATGATGTCTGTTGGAAAGACTGTATTTTTCTTTTGTTAGGAACCAACTGATTACATATCTATACTTCGTAACTGTTATTATGACTTTCTGATTATTCACACTTCACTTTAAAAAGTTGGCAACTTGTAGGTGACTAATTTTTTGCAAAGCTAATACATGAAAGGCAACAATTATTTTGAGAATCGTGAGACAAGAATTTTATAAAGCAGTGGATCAATAAAAAAAGCAAGAAAAATCTATAATGAAATGCTTATCTTTTTGAAGAAATCTTTATGTAATCATTTTTGCATAATACTGTACATAGCAAACTGTTTTTGCTAAAAAAAAAAACAAGAGAATTGCTCAGATTGACATTTGTTTTTCTTCTTGTGTACACAGCAATCTATTTTCATTTAAAAAAGACATCAAAGAGTTGCACAAATTTGGTATTAAGCACAAATTTTAATCCATAAAGTTCAGTTGCTTAAGAAGTACAATGAATTTTTACATTCTCTACTGTTATGTAAAAACAGTATATTTCTGAAGAAATGCAAAACTTTCTTTTTCATCAGCCAACAAACTTCGTAGTCCCATTGGTTGGGAGGGGAAGTACGGAATGAACAAAAACAAGCACTAATGACTATTCAATGTGAAGGTGAACATCTGCCATGCATGCATATATCTGGGTTGCTACATAAATACTTGCTACCATCCTGAGTTGCCTGCTTTAGCGACATAGGTTGTTGCTTCATAAATACTTTTTTAAGGGTTCAAATAATCTGAAAGAATCTGGTATTTATTTGCAGTGGAATCTTGAAGTGAAACCTCTTTTATATATAGTGAAACCTTTTTTTATAAAGGAACATTCACTCTAATAATATGTAAACTTTGGATACACATATTATTAGATGGAGAATAGATAGAATAGTACAGACACTTGATGGTAGTTGCTGTTTAGGCATAAGTATTAACTTGTGCGTGGATTGTTCTTATATGAACAAAGGTTGAAAGAAAATTCTGTAAATAAGCAAGTTCTCCTGTTATTTGCTTTGATATTTTGAAACTTTTTGAACACAGTGTACTTTAGCAATCAGTGCCTGTCACTGATCTTTAGCTTTTGCCTCTATTCTTCTTAACTAATGATGTCTTGTCATGGTTATGCAAGTAGTTATAATTGTCAAGTATATTATTTTTGAAATGCACACATGTCCAAATTTATCTTTACAAAACCCAAAATGATGATACTCCATGAAATATCCAATTGATGTAACTATTTTTGTAGGGAATGTAAACAAAACTAATATTATCCAATCAAAAGTGATCAAATAGTTTCTGATATGCGAATGAAAGCATTATGTCATCTTATGATGACTCAACTATTTGATCACTTTGTACAAAGTGAATATCTGAGTGAATTCTGCAAAATACGCCCCCCCCCAAATTTTTAAATGGGTTCGTCCATGTAGTGATTGTTTTCTTCGTGCTAATAAAGAAAAACCTCTCCAAACTGTCTGCAGACGGCATGCCAAATCATTTCCTTCTAACTGTTGAATTTTATGTTAACTTAATACAAGAGCCAACTAATCACAGTGAAGCAAATTTGAGCTGAGATTCAGTGTATGATTTCTGCGAGTCAACTGCACATTCACTTTTTCTAATTATTTATGGAGGATTTAAAGCTAAGGAGTAGCAGAGTGTAAGAACTGGAGAGATTCAAGGTATAGGAAAGTAAAAATGAAGATATCTTATTAGATACTCAAATGTTACTATGTATTCTTATTGGAATGTAGGTTTCTTTTTAAAGAAATATTATTGTGATTGGTAGTTACCTGTAATTTATCCACGA